ATACAACCTTAGCCTGGCAGATGAGGTCATTTAGTACCAGTGCTAGTGCATTAAAAAACCTACACAACACGCACACACACACAGAGCGACCAGTGAGCCAACTTGGCCGGCCAGTGGTAAAGACATCAGCATGAAATTACAGAACCGTCATGAAATATACACCTGAGGCAAGACTTTAAAGTCAGCGAGAGCCAATCCAAAGTGATCAGTGCACAAAGTGGGAGGGGACCAGGTGCTGATCCTCCACTCGGACAATGAGATGAGTGGAATTTCACCCAGACAGTCGACGACAAATAGGACAGTTATCGCGGCGTCCGTCCTTGGGGCAACCTTGGGTAACTTCATTATAGGGTGGACGTTGTGTTGTCCCCAGGGGAAATGTGATAATAACTTCATTGAATGTGACCATCAGTCTTGCCACGATTGATAACAGACAGTTAGACTAGGATGAATACAGTCCCTGTGCATTATGGGAGTATTTGTCTCCTTGATTAAGGAGACCGTCAAAAGCAGAGGCAGAGTAAATAATACTCTCAGACTAATAATTCAACTGAAAATTTCAAAACAACAAACTACATCAATAATCATGATCCAACTTTTGATCAAGTGTCTACAATTAAATGAAACACATTAAAAACTTGTGTTAACTGATTTTGAATTCATCCATTTTTATTTAAATTTATATCTAGCTTTAAGCAAAAGCACAACTACAGGAATATTATTTTCTTTCTCCAACCCCAAGTACCTGGCCGACAAACAACGTACAATCACATCATAATAATACATATACTGTATACACACACTACGGACATTATGGCATGTCAGGATACATGAAACTAATTACTTGCGAATGCAACGTGAATAAATAAGTAATAAACAGTAATAATGAAAGATAAGTCTCTCTTAATTTGTTTTAATCTCCTTTATGTACATAGGGGGCAAGGAATGCAGTGCCAATTAATCTTCAACAGAATGCACATTACCAAGGAGCATGCTGAGCCAGCGTTGTGGCACAAAAGAGCTCTTTCTCCTCTGAGCTTTTGAGTCTTGGTTAAGAACAACACTGAGATTTGTTTCCAGTTGTGAAACTGGCAAGAAAAAAAATCAGAAAAACAGGCGATGGCATTTTCTCAGTGACAAAGCTGGTATTTAAACTTCATAATAAAGACTGGAAACTGTAAGCATGGAAAAGTCTGCAGTGGCATTTAATTAATTTAGAAAGCCTGAACCTGTCATATTAAATGCACGTGTTACTGTGACTATGTCAAAGGTGAACTTTCTAGCCTCACATGTACCTCTTTTATGAGTTCAAATGTGCATTTTAACCAAGTGAAGCATGTCTGTATGCAAGGAGAAACACATTCTCAGTTTGGGAAAAATAAAACATTAGGACTTACTTTCTGTAGACAACCCCAGGTTTGGCTGTGACAAAGGGTCTCAGCAGAGTCTGGATGCGGCTCTCCCAGCACCAAAAGGTGGGGTAGTAGGTCTCTGACACTACCGGACATTGCTCCCTCAGAAAATGGTAGAACTTCTTCCCCCCCGAGATGAGCTGTGGCTTCTGTAAAATACACATGAATGAAGTGTGGAACAGGTTTTAGTCATAAAAGTGATTTTACCTCAGGGATTAATTACTGTGACATTATTTAATATGACAATAGATCCACAGCTGTAATAACTTTTCTAGTTCTAAGCCGTGTTTTGTTAAATTAAATTACATTATGTTGCATTAATGTCTCTAAACCTTACATCAAATCTTTTGATGCAGATCTGAAAACATTAAATGTACAAAATAGAAGATTTAATTCAGTTATACTACGTGATCAGAATTTCAGCATCCAACTGAAGGCTGACCATAAAGTGCAATGTGTATGAGATGACCACATCTGCATGAATCTTTAATTACATCTGGACCCACTGATAATAAACGTGAGGCATGCACAGCCCCCCACATGTAATGGCATGGTGTTATGTAAATCTAGCAATATAGTTTTGTTAAATATATTTGCACAATTTGGTGTAGTTACTGGCTGCCTCTTTTGTTTGAAGGACTGCAGAAAATGTTGCAGCTTTTTCAGCGCATTTCACTGCAGCTCCATTCAAACAGCTTAACAGTTCATATTCTAACACATATTATATGTGCCCTAGTAATATTTAATATTAAACTCACATATGTTAAAAAAAAATACACAATTACTTACATAAAATAAACACTGTGAGCCTCTTAGCAATGCGTTACATAAACCCCATCTACCGGCATTTCTAGCTAACATACAGCAATGTACGCCTAGCTTAGTCGATACCGACATGCAACTGTAACTGTCTTTCTCTGGGTTGATTCAACGTTACATAAGTTCACATGCATGTAGCTAGACGTGAACAATATCCGGTGCATATGCTGATTAATATATGTGTGTGTGTGTGTGTTGCCCACCGGCGGACAGATGCAGCCTAATCGAAAACCTCCATCAGCAAATGCACCGGTCGAGTATCTGTTTACGCATGGCAGCGAGGATGCATTTAACAGAACATACAAGCTATATCAGGCAATACAATAAAGTAAAAAAGAGTTCCTTTTAAAACAGCCGGTGTGGTTTGAAATGATACGTGAACGGGTCTTACCTTCGCTACTGAAATCAGATAGTAGCAGGTGTACGCTGCGCTAAAGCCCAGCACCAGAGACAGTCCTACTCCCGAACCGAAGAGGCCAACTTTCACTTGATTTTCCAAATAATGTGACAGGTCTCTTGTCAAAATGTTGAAATTTAAGTCCAGCGAGATCATTGCAAGGTCCCTGTTTGCACCCGTAGTGTAAGGACAGCGGCCACCTCGGTTGAAAGTCAGCTGTGCGTCTGCCTGCAAGCCCACTGTGAAGGAGACAGTCAAGGGGAGCTGATGTGGTGGAAATATATATATATATATGACTGCAATGTGTATCAGCGAGCGGTGGCGCTCTTTGACCGCCTATCAATGGAGCTGCTCCTCACAGTCCTGTCAGCCTGTCGCCCCCTGCAGTCGACAGAGGCGATGTGCAGCATGGCCGTCTGGAAGTCCTCCCTTCAGTGCCTTTAGTGGGATATAACCTCAGGTCAAATAGGTGTGTTTGAAAAGACAAGCATGAGTCATCATTGGGCAGGCATCGCGCTTCTGAATAAATGATCATCGTGGGTTTCCTGCTGTCGAATTAGTCACACAGTAGACTGGATTACCGAACCAGGAAAAAGCAGTGAACTGAACTGTTTGTCCCAGGGGCTAAAGACCCAGCAGGGGGAGGGGAACACAAAAGGCTGCCAGGTTCACATTGTGCCAATTAGTTTGTGTAATTTAATTAACTGAAAATGTGTTTGTTAACGCTGTATGCACCGAGTAATGATGATAAGGGCCTTTAAGGAAACTTAAGTGTATATGGTGCTTACACGATTAAACTATACGAACGATTACATGCACAGAGAGTGAGAAAAACAACAAAGCATTAATAGGGGCCGCATGGGAGATTTTATTGCCCTGGAGGTAAAAGGTATAATGTAGTACTGAGCTTTCAAATAAATCATCATAAGAAGTGGTTTACCTCAACTGTGCTAAAGTAAACAAACCTGCAAATCAGTAGTAACCCCAATTATGCCCATAAAAAAACAATATATGTTCAAATAGAGATATAAATAGCTTCATAACAGATATGCTGCTCCAGTCAATACAAAACTCGTATATGAATGGAGAAGTGTGACGTGGCTCACTGGAGAAATACAGCTCGATCAATTATTGAATCAAATAAAGAAAAGAAAACATCTCTCTCTT